TTAACCTTGATATATTGGAGGGAAAGTTAAGCAATCTGACCAGCCATTTCTGAAAGTCTGCAGTAGTGATGTTGCAACATCTGTTGTGATGCTGCTCTTCTCTTTTCCCTTAACTGGTGGTGGGCATGACATCAGGTATGGTCTGGGAGTGCAGGTTAATCACTGTTTCTTCAGGACTAGTTATGACTGCATTACTTTATAATTAAAAAAAGGATAAACGAAGTTGGCTGTCAGAAGGTTGTAAGTACTGTTTTAACTTGTGCAATTGTAACTTTAAAGCTAGACTAGATTTTATAACTTGGGTCTGTAAGACTATATATGGGATAAACCCGTACTTGTTGATAAGGAATAGGTACATGTAGAAATGAAAGTAGATAGGTGGGTATATTCCTGTTAATAAGCATGTTGACTTCTTGCCTTCTGCATAGGTGTGTGCAGGATGTAGGACTAAAATACTTTTTAAAAAAGAAAATTGTTCAATTTATGAAGGTACTGCTTCAGAGCAGTTTTGTTTCATGAAGAGAGAAAACCTGTTTAGGCTTTCAGTAGATGAGAAATGTACCAGAGCCAGGATATATATGTATAAGGGGAAAAACAAGATAAACAAAACCTAACCCACCAGCTGACTTGGGCTCTGAAGTGGCAGAGCACAAATTCTGTTAGTTTTTGAAGTGCTTTTCAAGTCAAGTGGCACTGTTTAGCTTAGAAGGATTTTAAGATGTACTGAGTCATGGAAATTAAACAACCAACCTCAGGTGATGTAGAATATCGGTGTGGCATTTTCTGCCTAAATTTTATGTTGCTGTTTTTTTTAGTGCTGATCCTACAATAAACAGTATTGAGAAATGGGACTTAATGAAGTTCTGTAGGTGCTTAAAAATAGAAATTATCCCTGGAATTCTTCGATAAAACCTTTGCACATAAGGAGAAGGGTATGGGAAAACTGGAAGAAGTTTCTGCTTGCCTGAACTGCTTCACCCATTTTCTCGCCTTTAGCTGATAGCAGAACTGCTTGTAAGGCACTGGTCCATCTCTTAAAAGCTCTTAGTTCCTCTCTAGAAAGCACGTCATTAGTAATGGTTAAATCACAGAGGGGAAAATCTTGCTACTTACCTGACAAGGGAGTTTTCTGAATAGTTGTAAACTTTGCAAGTATTATTGTGACTTTATGCTCACATTAAGAACAGTTGAATTGTTTGCTCCTGGCATTTCTTCAGAAAAAACTATTATAAGTAACTCCCTCCCCCTTTCCCTGTACTTGGTTCCAGGGAATGCTAAAGAGAGGAGTGACTTGGCATAGTTTTAGGTCTGGATTCAAACATGTTGAATAACTTTGTCCCACGGGAGAATTAAAAAAAATGCAGCAGATGGCAGCAATGATGCATCAGACTTCTGTCCTTAAGAACAATGTAGCTGCAGGCACTTTGAGGCTTCACCTATTGGATAAGCTGAGAGGGGGAGCAGGGTAGTCATCCTCTTTTCTTACTTTGCAATTTCAAGGCAGACTTGCTGAGGAAGGGATGTATTCCCTAGCCAATTCAGCAATCTTTTTTTATGGTCAGAGGATTAGTGGTGAGTAGGAGGTTTCCCCTGAAAGTTAGCCAATATGTTTCTTTCACATATACAAATCTGAGTCTGCCTATGGCATTTAAATTTCTATGGCATTTAAATATATGGTAACCTGTGTTTAAGAATATAAAGCACATTATTTTTTTGTGATTAGTTTGTCCTATGAGCAGAATACTTGTCTGGGAAGAAAAAGCTGCATTGGCAGCTGTAGTACAGCTTTGCACTTTTTTGTATTACACAGTATTTATAAAGAGAAGTAGGATAAGAAATGACTCAAAGTAAATATTTGAATACCTTGAAAAAGCTTCAGAGAAGAGAATAGAAGCATTCCGTGCTGTATAAGGAAGAACCATTCACCTCTAGTCTGGTTTATGCTGCTAAATGTGAACTCCACTACTGTTACTGCAGGAGTGCTTCATAGTGACTGCAGTGCAGACTTAAAGTGAAACATTTCAATTTCTAGAGTACTTCTGCACTTGCTCAGTACTACCTTGTACTTGCAAGTTATTATCATAAGATTGTGAACAGTTTGGGATAACAAGAAGGCTTTTTTATGTTCTCTTCTACATGATTTTAATACAGCCTGGTTCTGCTTACTGGAGTTCAGAGCAGCATCATTTTTTCCTCAACCTTCAGGTGACAACAGGAAACAAAAAATGCTTGCTTCTCTTTCAGTTCATTACTCCAAATAGATGTGAACTTAATTTACCAACTGATACGAATGACTAAAAGAGGGTTTAGTTGGGGTTGTTCAGCCTGGAGAAGAGAAGGCTCTGGGGAGATCTTACTGCATCCGTTCAGTACTTAAAGGGGGCTTATAAGAAGAATGGGGACAGGCTTTTTAGCAGGGTCCTGTTGCAGCAGGACAAGGTATAATGGTTTTAAACTGAAAGAGGGTAGATTTAGACTAGATCTAAGGAAGAAATTTTTGACAATGAGGGTGATGAAACCCTGGCACAGGTTGTCCAGCAAGGTGGTAGATGCCCCATCCTTGGAAACATTTCAGGTCAGGCTGGATGGGGCTCTGAGCAACCTGATTTAGTTGAAGATGTCCCTGCTCACTGCAGGGGGGTTGGACTAGATGAGCTTTAAAGGTCCCTTCCAACGCATTATTCTATGATTCTATAATTTATTTCTATGTTGACAGTAGTAGATTTTCTTTTCAGAAGTGAAGTAAGCGAAGGAGATTGAAAGCGAAAAAGTGACTGGGCTTCTCTGGTAAAAAGCTTTTTTCCCCTCAGAGTTTTGGAAAAAAGCAGAAATCTTGCAGTGTGGTGGTGACAGGGACCATACAGATAATATAGACAAGACTGAAGCATGTCTTAAGCCTAATGTAGGCTTTGTGGCTTGCCATGAAAGCAGCTGTAAAATAAGTCACAATAACAATCATGAAAAAAAAAAAGTAATGATAGTGGAATATTAGAGCATGGATCTCTATGTGTTAAGCAGCCTTTAGCCTGCAAGTATAATTTACGGTAGAAATTAAAATAGATCCTTTACTAGTTAGTTGAAAGGCAGCTGCTTTAATTAGCCTTACTACCACTATATACTGCTGTATGAATTCAATGAACCAATGAAGGCAAGTTGCCAAGCTAACTTGAAACTCTAATCAAGATGTACTTGAACTAAACTTGCCATAAGGTGCACAACCAGTTGCAAAATAGCACTCAGCTCAATATACAGCTGAAATAAAGTTCAAGGATCTGTCTTGTCTTAACTTTCATCTGTGTTTTCAGTATCTTTTAAGTAACAGAGTAGAATGGTGCTGTAGTGGTACAGTCAGCAAACTCTCTGAAGGATGGGGTCCAAATCTGAAATAGTAGCAATGAATTTGAGAGCAGATCTGGGTGACGTAAGGTTATGTAAAGGCAAGTAAGAACAACTCTGTTTAAAGCAGAGGAGATTGCTGGGTACTTTCAGCTTTTTTTACGGGGTTTCTATTTTTGAAGAAGCAGAACCACTTTTTTAGCAAGTAAAGGGACTTACAGTAGTAGTAGAAGTAGACTTCCAATATATAAATGCATATGTAGAAAGATGTTCTTTGCTACCATAAAGTCAGAAAGAAGTCTGTTTACATACAACAAAGAAAACACTGGGGACAGACTTTTGGAAGAAGTAGCATTTAGTCGAACTACCTTTTAAATCTGTCAGAGGTTCTTTTTTTGTAAAAAGAATACACAAATTTTATGGAGGTTAAGCATAATTAATCCTACCACAGTACCATGAGATGGCCAGATGATCATGAGGCCCCTTCAGTGCTGTAAGTCGCTGAGGGATTATGTATTCTTTTTTTCATGCAGATAACAAATGAAAAAAAGGCTGGAACAGAATTAGCTTCTGATAACGTACAATGACTGTTCAATGGAATACATGAGGTCTTATCTATCTTTAGCCTGTTTTTCCTAAAGAAGTAATCTTGGTGTAGGTTCAACTCTGGGGGAAGGGAGGAGAAGGACAAATTAGTCCAAAATGTGTTTGATCTAATGCCTTCCACTAGTGTAGTCTTCAAATCAGACTTAAACATATGAAGCCAGACTGATTTATCCTTGTGTAGAAAGTGGGAGTTGTATTAAATATGAAGGCAAGCAATTTTTTGGCACTTGTGGGCACTGTGAAAGAAGTTATTTAAATATTTTAATGATTTGGATGAAGGAAACTCTTCAGGAAATTGAACAATGGACGTTCATAAGACTCGGTAATACTTGTAAACAGACTGTAATCTCATTAGGAGAATTATTTGGCTGGAATATTACAGTGCATATGATGAAATACTAAAACTGCTCAGCAACTGGGATTTGGACTTTGAGTGGCAATGACATATGAACCCCTGCATGGTTTTAAAGTGTGCTATTTTTGGCAGCTGGGTGTTGGCTTGTCTCCTCAGTAGCAGTAGAAAATTAGTTTAGTGTATAGACGAAGGTGATTTTGCAATGAGAAGACTCCTCTGACACTACTTATTCAACATGGGCTGCTGCTTCAGTAAAGAATTGAGTAATGGCACGAATGAGGAGAAAACCAGCTTGTTACAAAAATCTGTGGAAGAGGAAGCACCAGAGTCAAGGATAAGTAAAACTTTATCTTCAATTTTAGGAACTGTGGAAGGCCAGGATATGCATACAGTGGGAAGGACAGTTAATGGGGCAGCTGCGATAGTCAGCATTGAATGCGTTCGTAGCGATGATTGTGCAGCGTCAGATTCTAAATCTGGGTTCTGGGATAGAAAAGCAAAATATCAGTCATACAAAAGCACGGAGAATATTCCCTATGAGAGCTCTAGGAGAACGTATGACAGACCTTTTAGCTTCTTTAATTCCTTTAGTCACCTCCTGAAGGTCTCTGGTACATATGGAAAACTGCAGAAAAGTGAAGAAAAGAAAGATAGGATTATTAAAAAAAGAGCACCTAAAAAATCTAATGGTAATGCTCAGCACATGAACAATACAGAAAATATTAATAGTAATATTAATAATGAAAATATAGCCACAGAAGAGCGTTGCTTGTTTGATCGTATTTCTACTTCACGTGTACCAGACATCCTAGACAAAGGCTTACAGGGTGAAATTTCCTTAAATAGAAATTTTCTGGAGGATTATGCAGCTACATGTGACCATTCAAGGCAGAATGAAACAACAGTAAATGTTGAAGACAGCAAGAGTGACAGCCTACAAAAAGTTTCAAGTTCGCATAGAGACATGTCTCCAATATTTTCCTATCTTGATGTAGACAACAACCAAAATACAAAAGGTAGGGAGTTTTACAGTATTTGTGTTGTAGATGCTGAAGATCTGAAAGGGGATGAAGAGGTGCCAGCTACCGTGCATGAAGAGACTGCAGCAGACATAGATAACTCAGCTGTTACTGATGAAGGAATGTGCAGCATGGCACGACCTCTAGACAGTGGGGAGGAATTTCCAATGCAGCAATCGGCACTAGTGGAAGCTAACTTTAATTCACAGAAAGAACTGTTTGAGTCTAAAAAAGAGGCTAGGTCAAACATGCAGAAAAAGGAGACAAGGAAATATTGTAGCATAGACATCCAATCTTCTTATGATAACTTACTGGCTAACAGGTGTCAGGTGCATAGGTTAAATACTGACAATACAGTAACAGATGGCTTAAAAGTAAAAGTATACAATGAAGTCATCCCTAAGAAGCTACAAGATGAGTTATATAGCACAGGTAATGCTGTCAGTTGGAACGAATCACTTCATAGAGCTTGTGATTCTGTACAGTTTGCAGATGCTGCTGAAGAGGACCAATACAGCCCTAATTCAGAAAACGTGAAACACAATGATTGTGTTTCCAGTGCATTGTTAAACACCGAAGCATGTAATTCAAAGAAAATTGAGGGAAGTCATGATTCTGAGATTGTACCATTTGATTTAAGTAAGCATCCCTCAAGCGTTGTAAAGGAAGTAAATACTGAACAGGTGGCAGAGAATATGAGGGATAACTTTAAATTATCATTAGACTTACATGAAATGGACAATGATTCTTTTTTGGTGAGTCAACATGTAGAAAAACGTGCTGAAGAAGGCTACTTCCTAAAGCCAGAAAATGAAGTAAACGCAACTGTGGAAAAGAGAACATTTCAAGGAATGTATGGTGATAGCCAAATGTTTGCACCTGACTCTAGTGAACAACATAGCATTCTGGAAGAATTCTTGAAAGAGAAAGAGAAATGTACAGGTACAGTTTTGCATAGCTGTGAAGCTTTGAATATGACTGAAATGCATGAAAACTTGGAAGAAAGTTCTGATTTTCAAACTCAAATTAAGGGTTCGACTGAAAACAAGGCATCAACTGAAGTTGCAAACCATAGTGGAACGGAGGAAGATGTCCGTGTGAGTATCACTGAGCTAAAAGGTGACATTCTTGAGGAAGCAGATAGCTTGAGCAGAACTCGATCATGGGTAAGTGATGGCACTTTGACATCTCATGAACTACATAACACAAGCACAGGTGAAATCTTCCTAAAGGAAGACAGCCTAGAATCTCAAATTTCACAGGAGTCGCTAGGGAATAAAGGTAAAGTGTGCAAATATTCAAATTCAGATAACAAAACCAGTGTGTCTTTTGTGTCTGTGGAACATGAGGATATGAATAAAATGGACATGAACTGTAGACAAGATGAGCAACAGGATGTATGTTTCTTCCACACAGTGGAAGCTCAATGGAATGTGGGGACTGACTCAGCCGAAATAGCTGGGGATGTAGCAGAATCTGTAAAACAGACAAAGCTTGAAGTTCACCTAAACAAGACAGTTGATAACAAGGTAGAAAATGTAAAACAGAATTTGAATGCTAGCATTGTTGATCATGATAAAACCATCTTAAATTGCAATAAAGGCTTGACTCACAATCAGAATGCTTACTCTAACTGCACTGTACCTGTAGCTTTGAACAATTTTGTGTGCAAGAGTGTAAAATTGATAGATGACACTAAAAATCTGGAAGATGCCAGTAATTTCTTACATAAAGCCCATAATTGTTTACCATCACTCTGTCAAAATTCATATTCTCATGTGTGTGATAAATCAGTGGAAGAGCCTGAGTTATATCACTGTACCAGTCCAGAAGCAGAGGTTGGGAACACCCAAGTTTCTGTTGGGCCTTTTACCGAAGTAGGATCAGAAACTCATGAAAAAGATGTGTGTGATGTAAATGAATGTAATCTTCAGGATGGTGAAGTAAAACAGTGTGTCAGTATCCACTCAAAGGAGGAGAACCTCGCTGGTTTTAGTATGTCAGCTGGGAAACTAGAAGCTTTTACCACGGGGAATTTAAAGCAGTTAGAAGCCAAGACTACTGAACTGAAAAACACCAGTTACATATTAAATACTCAAATGAATGACTTGACCACAAGTTGGGAACAGATGCAGTCAGATCACAAGATTTTCTCAAACAAAGGGCTTGGAGTTTTTGTTGACCCAAAGCAGGTAGACAAATACGCTGCTACTCCTTCCTATGAAATACACAGTGCCTCTCCTGGTGCTGCAGGATTTCAACAAGACAGTGAGTGGTGTGTATTAGATCTGATGGAAGACATATCGAGTGACCAAGAGCACTCCTATGAACTGGACAGACAAAATCCCCAAGTTGAAATATGGTCACATTTCATCAGTCTCCAGACTGGCAATGCTGATTGGACAAATCAGCTATTTTCTGATGCCGTTACTGTGGGTAATGGCGAATATCTCATGGGCTTTTTATGGAATAATACAATTTTGAACAATACCATGAAGAATGACAGACTATGTATAGTTAGTGAAAACTTCCAGAATGAACCTGAAGATTCAACAGGTGCTTCATATGCAGTGGGAAGATACCCATATCAGCTGCTAGCACCAGAAAATGTTGGTACCTGGGGATGGCAAGATAAAGATGAATTTGTGAGTATTCTGCAGAAGTGATTTGTTGTTAAAGCTTAAAGCTGAAGCTAGGAATTTACGTAAGCCAAAGCAAACTGTGGTTTCATTAGATAGTTAAATATATCAGCTGTTATTTTGTTCTTAAGCTGACGACTCACTCTTTCTCTGGCAAAACTGAATGCTGTACAGAATGTAGTAAAAAATGTTGCTGAATATTGATTTTTTCTTTTTGGTTCTGTTTACCTTGTGTGAAAGTTTTTAAACATTTGGAAAAGTATCTTGATTGCAGATTCTCAATTCTAGATGAACTTGAGATTAACACTTCCATATGCGGAAGGGAAATTTTCTACAGACTTATTTGTGCTCTTTACCTTCATATAGGAAGAAATGTTTGTGGATTTCCTGAAATCTTAAAGTTCTTCTTTGGTGGCAGTTAGGAAACCTTTTGCCCACTTCCGGAGACAGTCTTCTGAAGTGCCGTAGAAAGGAGTGGCTGCAGGAGAGGCGTGGGGAATGAGCGAGGCTGCACCTTGGCTAGCTGGGGTCAGAAAGGAGCAAAGCCAACCTGCGGCAGTTGCTGCTCCTCTTCCTTCCCTGCTGAGCAGAGCCAGTGCTTGGTATCGCTCTCCGCACCGACTGCGTTGCAGCAGCTGCTCTGACCTTGCCCAGCAGTCACAGTGCCGGCAGTGGTTTGTGCTAGGGGCGAAGTTTGCTATCTCCTGGGGGAACTTTACATACTAAAAATGGGAACTGATGGAACTTGCTGTCATCTTTGAATCCTTACTATTCAAGTAGTTAATGTCAAACACTTCCATTCTTTGTAAGTCTTCTCTGTTATTCAGTACATGTGTTCAAGCTGAGATCCTTTAGATCTTTTTACCTTCTGGATGTATTTTCTATGTACTATGTTTATGAGTATCTGAGTGCATGTGTTTCAGAAAAATTAAAGATTCATGGAGTTTTAAAGTGCCTTGTCTTAAACTCTGTAATGTTCTTAGCATCCTTAAATTCACAAAACAAAATTTAATAAGCTTTTTTAGTATGTGTTGTCATGAACAATGCGCTTGCCCAGTATAATCATCATATTAAAACATGCTGAAGATGTTCTGAGTATGGAAGAGCTTAATGCATTTTCTTCAGACATTAGCAAAACAAGAGAAAACTGTCTCATGTTACTATCAAAAAAGTATTGTAGATGTTGGCACTGCAGAGAGCAATCTCTCTGAAGCACAAATACAACCAGTTATATAGTGGTTGTATATAACCATATATGACCATTAAATGTGTCCATTTCTAATCCAGGTTAAAGGAGATGGGCCTGAGATGATTTAACTGGATCTGGTAATTTATTCTTTTTGTCCTGTCTAGGGGAAAACTAACCTAAATTTTTGTTAATGCTCTAATTTTTCTCTTGAAGTAATGAAAGGAGTTGTCTCTCATTGCTTTTATTTTCTGTAATGGTTCCTTAAAACTGTTATATGTTTCTGTAAGTCCCGAACCCCCTGCCCTGTGCTTTTGTATTTTCTTTTTTTTTTAATGTTATTTCACAGAAACAGATGTGATAACAATATAGTCAACATTGAGTTAACATGTATATTAGAGAACTGCCTGAAGTCTAGGGCAAGTACAGGCTGAGTTGGTCTGTCAAAGCTGAAGAATGAAATTTTTGTTGTAGTTTGCTCTGCTTGGCTAGCCTTTTCTGGTGATTCTTCATCAGGGAAATGAATTCTGTGCTGCAAGATTCAGTCATTTTTGTACCTGAAACAATTATTGAGTGGCAATTCAGTTAATATAGTCAGATGTGGAAAAAAACACTTGACAATACAATCTTGAGTTGTACATCTTATACTGTTATTTGAAACTGTACATACGTATGTACAGGTACATGCTGTGCATCCACAAAGTGCGTAATCAAATAAATTTCTTTTTGTAGGAGTCAACCAAGGTTTCTGAGTTAAATCCTAATGCAAAGGTGTGGGGAAATCATATGTTACACTTGGAAGCAAGTGGTGCCACTGACGGTAGCGTGAGCAAAACGTGGGAAGAAATACCTGACCAACCTCCAGATTGTTGTAAAAAAGGTATGAGTAAGAGTTTCTAGCTGTTGCTCAAGCAAAAGCTAAAATCCAGTGCAGAACTTTCTCAATTGTAATTTCCTGTTTAAAAAAATGAATTCAAGTGTGTAAGCAACTGTATTTCAGATTTAGTTTTAACTGTGATGTTACTGTGATTAGAAGGAATGCTTTTTGAGTGTGTTTGTCATCTCTGCTGCAGGACTGGATGCCAACGGTGATGGTGACAAAAAGCATCAGAATGCAGTGCTGACAGAGCTGCAGGAGCCATCACCAGCTGTTTCGGTGTCAGACCAGACAGATATGAACCCTTTGGCTCTCGATCATTCTGAGTATGAGTCTATGCATGAAACCACCCAGACAGGTAAGAGAAAGCTGATGTTTGCTTGGACTTGGTCTAAAATAAGAAAACATATTTTGAGTTAAAAATTTAAAAACAAAATAAAACAAAAAAAAAAACAAAACAAAAAGCAAACACCAAAAAACCCAAACTGCACCACTTTTGTTGTTCAGTATGTGTTCTGTAAACAGACCCCAGAAAGTCCTGTCTCTCTTGCTGTCCTGCTTTGACATAATTTGGAAACCAGTCTCCTCCTGTTTGAGTATAGGCCTTGTGAGGTACTGTACAGAATTGACCATAAGTTCTGGATATAACTGAGTATTGTTTTCTGGAATGTTACTTGGAATGCAAGTCCCTGGTGTAGTTGTTTACATTTAGATATCTACTTGTGTAAGCCGCATGTTTCTAGTTGGGTTGGGTACCGAGGTGAAATTCGTGTACCTTTTGTGTCTCAAGTAGTAATGTTAATGTGTTTAAAGTTCTGTCTTGTACTTAAAATGCGAAAAAAACAACTTAGTCCAACTTCTTTGCTTTCTTTTTTAATGAACTTTCATGATTTTTTTTCAGTGCAACTGTTAGTAGCTGTAGGCTATACCAGATGGCATGTTTTAAGAAACTTCTGGAAACTAGGATGGTCAGCCATGCTTATATTTCACTGAAAGGGACAGAAGGTCTGCAAGATGCATGTAGGATTACTACTTGAATTGAGATGAGGAAAAAGAAAAAACTTCAAAATTATCAAAAAATTGAGATGGGAAAAGAGGAATTTGTGTTGGGTGGCTCTTGAGATTCATGAGAGGTTTGCTCCTTGTTCATTGTGCTTAGCCCTTTTTATAACATGTATTTAAAATGACCAGTATAGCATCCACAGTAGTTGGAAATCAAGACAACTGAAATCGGACACAGTTGTGGCATCATCCTCGCTTGTGTTGAAAACTGGAAGTTCTCTGACTCCTCTAGTTAAGGGTACTATTGGGGAATAACAAATAATAACTAACTGACAAATAGAAAATTACATTAATGGTGCCTAGCACTCTAGTAGGGAACAGTGTTCCTCAGCTTAGTGTTAGAACTTGTTCAGCATGTCCTTTACGTGCCCAAAATAGTTAACTTTTAACAAGAGTCAAATAGTGTTGTAGATCAGCTGAACAACAGGTCAGACCTATTCCCCTTGATGAATAGTGACATAGGTGGTCCCAACTCTGAAATCTGATTTTTATTTTTTTAATTATTATTTTTTAAAATGCAAGTAATTTTGGTCTTTGCTAGATTTTAGGCAAGGAAGAAAGAGGAGATGGAGAAGGGAAATAGTGGATAGTACATGATATGTGTATTTCTCAGGTGTTGGCATTGCCTACATCAGAATAGAACACATGAAGGACAAAACGGTGGGAGGAAATTAGACATTGCTTTAGGAAGAAGAAAGGTTAAGGAGAGTTGAAGAAAAAAGGATGAAAGTTACTGAAGAAGGGAAGGGTATAGAGTGTAATAGTTGGTGTGAAATAATTTTTTAAAAAACTAATTTACATTTATGTAACATGTTACTAAATGTTTTGTAAATCTCTAAAAGCTGCACTAAACTTCTGATCAGTTTATCAGTTATCCCACTGACACAGTTAGTTTACCCTCACTCAACTGACTGCAGCATATTGGGTCTAAACTAAAATGAATGTGAAATTAATGTTTTCCAGGTGATAATTTTGAAACTTTCAGGTATAACAAAAAAAATTTATTTCTCCTTCTTAACCAAGAGATTGTTAATTGATCACACATCTGTTGTTAATTGATTGGATATCTACTGATATTTCATAACTACATTTTTGAAACTCTCTTTTCTGAATTAGTGGGTTGGGACTTTAGAGTGAGGCCAGAAGTGCGAAGTGCCTCCATTACATTGCTCGCTTGCAGTTAGTCAGCTGCATTAGTCAAGGTTTAATCAGCTAGGAATTGGTTAGTATCCTAAGGCTGGAAGACAGATATACCAGCTAAATCAGTTCAGTATTTACTCTGAGATGTGTTTGTAGCTGCTTTTCTAAAACTGCTTAAAATTTTTATATATTTGTAGAACAGAGGTTAACAATTGAAGTCAGATATGGTTTTTCTTTTTTGTCTTAAACAAAAAGTGGTCCTGTATGATTTTGGTGCATGGTGAACTAAAACACAATGAACGTTTATTGAATTTGAAAATTTGTTACTAGTTATATAGCCAGTAATAGACATGATGGCTTGATTAAAATATAAGCGTGATATAGCAGAACTAAATTTTAAATTTAGTATTTTAATTATTAGGTGGAAGCGAACAGTTGCAGCCAGAAGGTCAGGAAGATTTACGAGAATTACTGAAAAAAACACTGGAATTCTGTTTATCTAGGTATGTATGTACCTAAATGTAGCAAACTGGAGAATAACTAAGAAGATCCAGTACCTAACTTGGGATGTATGTTGATAGATTTCACACCTGTCACTTTAAAACTGAGTGGAAAGGAGAATTTTGGGGGGAGTAACATAAATTCCAGACTATCATGTTGATGTACCTCTTAAAGCTTACATGAAACTTCTGGACCTAAAACATAAACTAGCAAATATACTGTTTTGAAGTGAGAGTAGTTGCAAGCAATTACAGATCAAGTGAATTTTTATGACTGTTAATTTTTTTTGCAAATCAAAACTGAGTAGTGTAAGCCATTTGGTAAGCTTTGTTTAAGCTAATAATTTTGAAATTTGCATTGATACAAACTAGGATTTTTGTACGTGCATCTGTAGCTCCCTTTGTATTTTAAGTTAAGGCTCAATTTAAAAAAGAAAAAAAATATTCAGGGCTCCGAATCATACACATTCCAGTATAGACTGATGCAAGATCATCAAAGCAGTTCACTTGTACTTAATTATACTCAGTGCTTGTGTCTAGATAAAAACATCCTAAATACATGTCTTAACTTAGAACAATTCCTAATCTGTATATACTCCTGCATAACCAGTTACAGTCAGTGGTCATTTGAAGTAATAAACTCCTAACAATATTACATGTTTGTGGGGGTAATGTGCTGCCTGAACAGGAAGTTGCCAATACTATTACATGAAGGGGAAAAAAAAGCAATTTCATGTTTTCTAGGAAGTGAAATATAGTAAATAACTGAATGGACTGGGAGTTGGTAAAAATGCTGAAAACAAAATTTAGTATAGGAATCTGCCTTCTACTATGCGATGAGTTTTTGTCTCAAGTTTATTGGTGAAAGTTACATCTGTGACATTTTTTTTTTCCTCTCCCAACAGAGAAAATCTTGCCAGTGACATGTACCTTATATCACAGATGGACAGTGATCAGTATGTGCCAATTATGACAGTAGCAAACCTTGATCATGTCAAGAAACTCAGTACTGATATGGATTTGATTGTTGAAGTGCTGAGATGTAAGTAAAAATCCCTCAATGCTAGAAAACATTTTGGTTATTGCTGTAGGACTATTAATCTGGATTTTCAACCTCTCTCCCTTTTTTTTTTTTGGTATGTATCACAATCAAATGCCATCCTTTTTCTGTAAAGCATTAAATAGAACGTGACTCAATGTGTGCCTTAGAAGAAAAAGCTAATGAATTGGGATTTTCTAGGCTGGAAGAGTAGGAAGAGTGTGGAGATTTTAAAGGAACATGTCTACTCAGTTGCATATGTCTGAAAGTATCCTCAGTCATCTTCTGCTTGTTTCTTAATACTCAAAAATATTTGAAGTTTAGCACAAAAAGCTTTGCATTGTAAAGCTGTCCACAGCATCTTTTGGTGTGCAAAACTGTTTTGATTGTATACAGCTAAAATAGATTTTTGCCTTTTCTCTCTTAGCGTTGCCTTTAGTCCAAGTGGATGAGAAGGGAGAAAAAGTTAGGCCAAATCAGAATCGCTGTATTGTGATTTTACGTGAAGTACCTGAATCTACCCCCATTGAAGTAAGTGTTTAATTGTTCACTAAAGAATGCTTTTCTCTTAGGATTTGTGAGTTAGATTTCTTCCAGATTTCAATAGACATATCACATTTCTTACTACATTGTTAGTTTCTAACAACATTTCTAAACCTCAGTTTATTGTGTGTATTTGGATAATAAATACATTTGATAGAAGCAGTTGCTCATAGGAAGACTGCGGTAAAACCTTTAGTGCTACAGAGGCCTGAAAAACTGACAGTGCTGTGTTTGGTAGAGATACCGTAATTTTCTTCGTCTCTGGCTTATCCACGTGCACTTAGCTCAGCTTGTTGGATAAATAGCAAATGAAGATGAAGGAAGGTAAGTCTCAGAATGGAAAATGCCACTGCTGCAGCTTGAAGCTTGTTAGGGTAAAGTACTTAAAGCTTTGCAAACATTTCCATAATGCTGAGGGTAGAGGTGTCAACAAGTCGCTAAGGATCTCTGCTGGCTTGTGGAATGAATGTGGGAGGGGAAAACTTGATTTTTTTGAAAGTTTTTCAATGCAACTCTGATGTAGCTGGGACTATGACTAACAAAGTCTAGAAAGAAGTGATTGGGCCATAGATTAAACCATCTTGAATTTTCAAAAAGGAAGAGAAGGCATAGATTCTTGATGATGGGGAGATATTTTAATTTCCCCTCCTATTTAATTACACAAGGAGGAATAAAGATTCTGAAAGAGTTGCTCTTCTTGATAGTCTTCATACAAAAATAAAAAGTACTGAAGATTAAGGCCGTTTCTTTATGATAAGTTTTTAATAAACAGCATGAAAAAAATTACTGAAAGGAACTGGAGGGAAGAAGTTAGATATGCTATATACATAGTATAAAAACATCAGCTGCTTTTAGCTTTCTAAATAAAATGTAACCTTTCAAAGGCTGCCTAGATTTATAATATTACAGATTTTTTTTTTTGCTGTCATCAGTTTGTCAGGTTGGATATATTAGGGCTGGGTGGTCATTCTTAAATGCTTAACAAAAACAAAGTTCTGGGGAGTCTTTATTTTCAAAAGAGGTGATCTGAAGTGTTTTATACATTATGTGTTTAAATTTGCCAGACTAGAAAATCTAAACTTAATCTGACAGATTTAATAGGATACATTTTTCTGGCGTAGCATGATCAGGCTTCATTTAAGCTGCAAAGTTCCAAAATACTATAAGGCCTCCCAAGTTGCATTGCTTTTTGATGCTGCTCGCTTCAACTCTCTGACAAAAATAAATAATATGCAAATGGATTAAAACAATATAAAGTCCAAAGTGTGTTTTTTCTGTAGAAACTAGCTGACTGTTTTTGAGGTACCATAAAACCTGTTTCAAATATGTTAATCTGTAGATGCTTGAGCTCAAGTGTATCTCCAGGTTTATGCTGAAAGGGCAGGGTTCCTCTATCCCATGCAGCATGCACAGGTTCTTGTGTGGCTCCGTGGTTTTGGGGACAGGGGAGAAATAGACATTTTTCTGCACTTGATGCCAAATTTAAGTGTCTCCTTACAGCCTAAAGAGCTTATCTCCCCTGATTTAAAGGGAGCAGGCAACTTCTACTTGCAGTATGGCCTGTTTGTATTCCTTCTAGCTAGTGGGGAGATTGGAGACTTAATGCTACTTGTAGATGTTCTGAAATTCTCAGTTCTGTTTTGTAAGCTAGAAAGTGCTTTTTGTCTTTCTTACTTGGAGTTCCAGAGTTCTGCACTTTAAATTGATGTTTTCTTCCATCCTTTTTTTTTTCATCCCACCCTTTTCCTTCTTACCAAAACCACTTTCCTTAGGAGGTTGAAGCACTTTTCAAAGGAGATAATTTGCCTAAGTTTATCAACTGTGAGTTTGCCTATAATGACAATTGGTTCATCACGTTTGAATCGGAAGCCGATGCACAGCAGGTAATGCTGTTTTTTGGAACCATTTTGGAATATAACAGTAACCAAGGGTGGGATGAGGGTGGATTGATGGGTTGTAAACTGTATTACAAATGTGTAATAATTTAAAAAGAAAAATACCTGATGGGTTGTAAACTGTATTACAAATGTGTAATAATTTAAAAAGAAAAATACCCAAAACTCTAAAACTAGTAATGCTTACCCTTAGCTAATACCCAGTTATCGATACTATTAAACATAACCCTGTAAGAGTTTTATCTTGTTCGTGTATCCTGGCTTCCTTGGTAAAGCTATAATTTTTTTGTGCGACGAACATTGATATTTTGGATGACACATTGAAATGCTTCAAATTTAAGAACTAAAATCTTGTTTTAATGCTACTGACACACTTCTGGATGATAATTTAGATCTTGCTGAATGCAGATTACATACGAGGGTTTTCGTTAGTCTAACATTAGCAGACATTTCAAGAATTACTGTTAGGCATAGCCTGTCAAAACTTAAATTTCCTTTGTTTAAATTATATTTGACAAATGTTATAACTAATCTTTTAAAGGCTTACAGATACCTTAGAGAAGAAGTGAAAACTTTCCAAGGAAAACCAATTAAGGTAAATAAAGCTTTACGGGTTTTTTGGGGCATGTGTGTATGTGTTCTGGTTTTAGTGGGGTTTGCTGTGTTTACTGATATGAACTTAAGTGGTCCAATCTCCGCAGCCATTTGACCTGGAGATGGGTTTTGAAATGTAGCATGTGCCATTTTACTTCTCCTTTTCCTCCTTTCTGGCAGTGGTATATCCATCCCAGCATCAGGCCAGCAGGGAAGCATTCAGCTGTTCCTGCCTTCCTTGAAGGACAAAGCAGTGACTGACAAGCATCCAGTAAAAGTTTGAGCTGCTAGTTTGAACCATCCTGATATAATTTGAAAGGCTGCTGTAATAAATAATCTAATCTCCTTTGCAGGCAAGGATAAAAGCAAAGGCAATAGCTATAAACACATTTTTGCCAAAGAATGGATATAGACCTCTGGATATGAACCTCTACACGCAGCAGCGTTACACAACATCCTTTTACTTACCTCCAGTATACAGTCCCCATCAGCAGTTTCCATTGTACAGCTTAATTGGCCCACAGACCTGGTCGGCCACGCACAGCTACCTTGACCCTTCATTGGTAAGTCTTGATTATGAAACAGTTACATTCTTTTCAAAGTTGGTATTATTTTCTTACAAAGTCTTGAGGTGTAGGAAGCATGTGTATCCTGAAGAGAGGAGTTTAAGATACTGATTCTTCTTGAAAAACAGTTCTTCAAAATTCTTCCTTTGGTGTACAAGATTAATTATTTGAAAATTGTATCTGGTATCAGATTGCAGTGTGATTCTTGCCTTAACCTTTAAGTTTTTGGGGCAGTTCTTTACTAAATATTATTAATCAGCTATTGCCAAAAGAAATCATAGGATGGTTGGGCTGGAAGGGACCTTAAAGATCATCTAGTTCCAACCCCCTGCCATGGGCAGGGACTTCCACTAGACGAGGTTGCTCAAAGCCCCATCCAACCAGGCCTTGAACAATTCCAGGGATGGCGCATCCACAACTGCTCTGGGCAACCTGTTCCTCACCACCCTCATAGTGGAGAATTTCTTGCTTATATCTAGTCAGAATCTGCCCTCCTTCAGTGTAAAGCCGCTGTGCCTTGTTCTATCACTACATGCCCTTGTAAAAAAAAACAAAACAAAACAAAAAAACAAAACACCTCTCCAGCTTTCTTATAGGCCCCCTTCAGGTACTGGAAGGCTGCTATAAGGTGTCCCAAGAGCCTTCTCTCCAGGCTGAACAACCCCAACTGTCTCAGCCTGTCTTCGTAGGAGGGGTGGTCCATCCCTCTGATCATCTTCATGGCCCTCCTGGACTCACTCCAACAGGTCAACGTCCTTCTTATGTTGGGGGCCCTAGATCTGGATGCAGGACTCCAGGTGGGGTCTCACCAGAGTGGAGAAGAGGGGGAGAATCACCTCCCTTGACCTGCTGGCCATGCTTTTTTTGATGTAGCCAAGGATATGGTTAGCTTTCTGGGCTGCAGATGCACATTGCTGTCTCATGTTGAGCTTCTCATCAACCAACACCCTGAAGTCCTCCTCAGGGCTGCTCTCGATCCATTCTCTCCGTAGCCTGTATTTGTGCTTGGGATTGCCCCAACTCCTGTGTAGGACCTTGTACTTGGCCTTGTTGAACTTCATAAGGTTCACACAGGCCCACCTCTCGAGCCTCTCAAGGTCCCTCTGGATGATATCCCTTCCCTCTGGTGTGTTGACTGCACCACACAGCTTGGTGTTGTCAGCAAAGTTGCTGAGGTTGCATTCAATCCCACTGTCCGTGTCACTGACAAAGATGTTAAACAACGTCAGTCCCAATACTAATCCCTGAGGAATGCCAATTGTCAGTGGTCTCCACTTGGACATTGAGCTGTACACCACAACTCTTTTGAGTGCGACCATCCAGCCAATTCCTTATCCACAGAGTGGTCCATCCGTCAAATCCATGTCTCTCCAATCTAGAGACAAGGATGTCATGTGGGACAGTGTCAAATGGTTTGCACAAGTCTAGTTATTACTAAAGACTTCTTTTAGTAACAGTTAAAAGCCTCCTTAGAAATTAGATCTTCAGAATATGTATATGAATACCAGAAAAAGCAATTCTGATATGTACTGAATAAAGTTAATGGAATCGGATAAATAAGCATAACTTGGTATTTTGATCTTGCAGCAGGAAAATAAGTTCTAGGTTAACATGCTGAATTACCCTATCTGGCATGTTAGTAAAGCAAAATATTTTCTGTGCAGCAGTAACATCTTTTTTGACAATAAAAAATAAAATTACTTTTGCTAATAAAAAGATACTTGACTTTTAAATGGCTTAATTTTTAAAAGTTTTCTTAAAGGGGCTATCAGTAAGCCTTAGAGCTAGGGTGGTAGCAAGAAAACCTTCTGTACTCTAATGGGACATCTGTTGCACCCTCCAATGCTGCTTCCATCTTCTCTCCCATTGTGACAGTCCTGTGAGAATTACCTTGGCCCCTTTTAGTCTGCCTTTGTTATCCTACAAAACCTAATATGAATCTATTTTTCTATAATGACTGGGGGACTAAGGTTGTCCTATGAGGAACCTCTTTCTCCCCTCTGTAAATGCCTCTTTACTTGCGGCTAAAAGAAACTAGGGTAGCAATGCTCAAAATTAGAAGCATTTTAGAGTTTTTTTTGGCAGACAATTAAAGTGTCCTTGAACAAACTTGAACAAACTTCCTGTGTACCGGACAGCAAGCTAATTAAAAAGTTGGTGTGCTAAACACTGCACACACAGGGAAGGTAGCCAGAGCCCCTGCAGGGGAAGGCTTTTTAAGGGGGATGAAGAATGCAGAGGAGACAAGTAAATGATGTTATTCCAGGAGAAAGGTACTGTATTAAGCAGCAATGAATGTGATTCTTCCTCTAGATAAACTAAGACTGACTATCCTACAGCAACACTGTGCAATAGTGAAGTAATTGGGCAACAGTGGTGTGGAAGACTTAGATTAACTGGCCATAGGTTGAAGCACAGCATAGTGTGTCAATAGCCTTATGTCATCCTGGAACTTATGTGTTCCAGAAAGCTTACTCGTCCTGGCCTTTGGGGGAAGACATTACAAGCTTGCCAGCATTAAAGATCTCATACCTTTCTTATTAAAAACAGAAAACTAACTGACAGATCTTTGCCTCCCACTGTTTTGCAGCCTATTGTCATTGGTTAGCTGCTTTTTTTTGTACATTAATGTGATACGATGTTTCTTGAACCTTTTATAGGAAGAGCTGTATTTGAGTAGAAATTACTTATGGGGAGAACAAGGACCACAAGGAACAATGACACAGGAATAATTTTATGAGACAGGGTTGCAGTTTGCATGTGGACTTGTGTGCAAATATAGCAGAAGTTTCTCTCCTCTTCTGCTTCAGCATAAAGACTCACAGTGCTTTGTCTTGTCTCTAATTTGGGATTAAAGACACCCAGTAGTGTGGGCATACAGTTTTAGTTCTGAAACTAGAATATGGCAACACATGTTGTCAAAATTCTAAAACTACCTACTTCTTCATCAGGTACTTAATAGTATTTGAGGAAAGATCTAGTTTGGGAAAGAAAGATCTGCTTGTGAGGGAAAAAAAAGTTACTTTTGATGAGGCAGATGACTTCTGTGGAGAAAGCAAATTGATGCTTTTGGTGTTACTGGAATGTGAAAATGACATTTTCCTCCAAAAAGATCACCTATCCATAAAGAAGGAAGGAGGGAATATTGTTGTCCTTTTCACAGAATCACTAAGGTTGGAAAGGACCTTCAAGATCAAGTCCAACCATTAACCCAACACCACCATGTCCCCTAAACCGTATCCTGAAGCACCACATCCACACATTTTTTGAACACATCCAGAGATGGTGACTCCACCACCTCGCTGGGCAGCCTGTTCCAATGCTTGGCCACTCTCTCAGTAAGGAAATTTTTCCTAATATCCAATCTAAACCTCCCCTGGCGCAACTTGAGGCCATTTCCTCTCATCCTATCACTAGTTAGTTGGGAGAAGAGACCAACACCCACATTGCCACAACCCCCTTTCAGGTAGTTGTAGAGAGTGATAAGGTCTCCCCTCAGCCTCCTCTTCTCCAGACTGAACAACCCCATTTCCCTTAGCTGTTCCTCATAAGACTTGTGCTCCAGACCCCTCCCCAGCTTTGTTGCCCTTCTCTGGACACGCTTCAGCACCTCAATGTCCTTCTTGTAGTGAGGGGCCCAAAACTGAACACAGGATGACTCACCAGTGCCAAGTACAGGGGCACAATCACTTCCCTACTCCTGCTGGCCATGCTATTTCTGATATGGGCCAGGACACTGTTGGCTGCCTTGGCCACCTGGGCACACTGCCGGCTCATGTTCAGCCGGCTGTCAGTCAGCACCCCCAGGTCCCTTTCTGCTGGGCAGCTCTCCAGCCACTCCTCCCCAAGCCTGTAGCGTTGCTACAGGGTTGTACATGGGGTTGTTGTGACCGAAGTTTAATTCATTTTAAGCAATGAGTTAAACTTGTTTCCCTTTAGTATGTTCAGTGTCTTTTCATTATTCAGGTTCCGTAGCTGCTTACTAGCTTTGATTGAATTTTATAGCGTTCGAGTTGTAACTATTAAAGCAGAAGGCACTTCAAAGCAATATTTTGATGAAACGTTGTTCCTCAAATAGCTTTATTAAACTCCTAATGACCTGGTTTTGGAGTCTGAGGTAACATTTGCTGTCATGTGCTAGGGTAGGCTAACAGTAGTTTGGCATGACAGCTTTGGTGTTAAATTTTATTTTTGATTAATGATTTGCTTTGACTTTTGCAAGAAAGGTTATACAAGCTTAAACGTATCTTTATAGAAAACAGTCTTAATCCCAGCTTTTTCTTATCATTTAATTAAGTGTAGAAAGAGTGCTACACAAGACTTACTCTTCTGCATTTTAGTTATTTTCAGGGGGAGGAGACAAATAAGTATTTGCTAGTAGGAACACTTCTTAAATGAAACTCATTCATACACTTAAAAAAAACTGTGCTAGTGAGGTTGGGGAAATTGCTATGAACACACTTCAAATTCTGAGGTATCTTGTTAACACAAAACATTGGGAAAACTTTCACTAATGTTGCTTCTTCAGGCAACAAGACAGTAATTCACATGTAGAATAAGGTGGTAAGATGTGAGAAGAATCAGAGGTCCACTTAACATCACTTATTCTCTAGGCTTTATTTAGATGTCACATGGAAGATGAGTAGAATGAGGAACTAAAAAGATTTTTTGTTTTGTTTTAGGGAGGGATTCACATATAAGAAAAACAATTACAGGCTGTGTAGGTTAGAGAGTCTCTGGCAAAGAAGTATCTCTATACTCTGAAGTCATGCATAGTATGATGTGAAATAGAAGGAGTGTTACTTAACTTACAGCCATGAATTTTGGCTCAATGTTTTTCAGTTGTCTTAAATTATCAGAACTTGAATACGTGTATTGGCTGTCTTCTCAGAAAAACAGCATTTTGTAAGTTGGTTACAAGGCACTGGACAAATGTTCTATTGCTGTTTGAGCCAGTCTTTTAAGTACTGCCCTGCACAGAATGATATAAAATATGGGATTAAGAAAAAATAGTACTCAGTGGAGTTTTAATTATGACCATACAATATATTCTTTAGGTAACACCATTTCCAAATACTGGATTTATCAATGGGTTCACATCTCCAACCTTCAAGCCTGCTGCTTCTCCATTGACTACACTCAGACAGTATCCTCCCAGGAACAGGCAAGTTCAACCATCTTTTAACAATATACATTCCATTTTATTATCTGGCATGTGGGGTGTTAATCTGCTTGGTTTAGTTACACCAGCTAACTTGAAAATACTTGTGAAATTGAACCTGGTGCAAGGTTAAGTGAGGCCAAAGGGCAAATGGTGCTGCTGTTAGTGGATGTACTGTTTCTAAATGTAAATGGACTGTCTGAAAGCTGAGAACTTGTCTGTTCCATGCTTTAGGGTATTCAGATGAAATACTCTGAATGATGTCATGTGATCATTCATACAGTATTTCCAGTTACAAGTAGTTTTTAGTTATGCCATAGTTGAAAATAGCAAAAAGGTTAATTCTGATAATTCACATGACCTGTAAAATGAATATTTATCGATATTATAAGTGAAATATGCAATAAAGGACTAAAGAGCTTGCTGCTTCTGAATTCTGTGTATAGACTTAGGCCTCAGAAGGTCTCTCATAGTACGTATGTTGAAATGACTTTTGAATTTGTAGGAATCCTAGCAAGTCTCATATACGACATACAATACCCAGTGCAGAAAGGGGACCTGGGCTTCTAGACAGTCCTACAATATTCAACTTTTCTGCTGATCGTTTAATCAATGGCGTCAGGAGTCCACAGACGCGGCAGCCGGGGCAAAACAGGACACGGATGCAGAATGCTACTACGAGTTACACCAAGAGGGAAGTAGGAACTGGACGGATGGAACAGACCAGCGTTGACTCGTCTCCTGGATTAGGTAGAGGAAGGTGAGTGAACTCTGTAGTTGTCGTCTGAGCAACCCAATATTGCTGCTTCAAAACTACTTCTTTTAGTAAAGAGGTATGGTACTAGTACTGTTCTCATTACTCTTAGACTGAGACTGTCTCTCCTCAAAGATAAAATCCTGGAAAGGATTTCAGAGAAAGTGATAAATATAGAACAAATGAAAAGTAGACTTGCATAATTTCCTGCCAAATTAAAATCATTAATAGCAACTGATGAACAATTTATAGCCATAGGATCTAATCCTCTATCCTTTCCTTATCTGTTGTAAGAAATTTTTTGCACGTTGACTTCAGTGAAGCAGTTCTGCCCATTCCATTGTTCAGCGGTGTAGACTGTGCACCTAAACCTGTACTAGCAGTGCTCATTGTTAATTTTTTCAGTTGACAGATGAGCATTTTGCCCAAATTAGACACTTAAAACCACAAAGATGATGGATAGGTATGGAGGGAGGAAAAAGGATTACATGCAACTAAAAAACCTATTGTTATGCAGTTGAACAAACAAACAAAAAAACCCTACCACCTGGGGAGCTGAAAATTGATGGCACCTGTATTAATGTGAGAATTTAGCAGGCTTATTTTGGAATTTTTAAAATACAGTACAGTTCTCGTAGTGCTTTATAAAAGTACTGTGCAGCTTTGTTTAATGTAGGCTGTGTTTGCATCTCCAAGTAAATCACATTTTGAGTAACTTAGTGAATTGGAAGATAACTTGAGTCTTTTGCAGATGATCCTATATTAGACTTGTATCATTGCAAAATTCAGTGGGGATTTTTTACAAGTATTGTAATACTTCTCTAAATCTAATTTGCTGAACTGTGTTACAACTAGTGGATGAAAGCATGATTAAGGAAATAGAAAACAAGATTGCTCAAACTGTAGAATACAAAAACGTACAGGAATTGTCAGTACTTAGATTTATATTCTGATGTTCCGGTATTGGATACATTTAGAATATTAAGTCAAACAGAAAACTTAGAAAATATATTGAAACTGAGTTAGAAGGCATTGCAAATGTTAAACTGCTGCTTGGAGGGGCTTTAACTAAAGCAGGGCTGGGGGAGAAGTGCTGAAAATGTTTTGGAGGGCTTTATCTGAATTGAAAATAGTTAGTCATTTTTTCAAAGGCATAAAAAAACCCCCAAACTAAACTTTTACTTTGGATATTGAAAGGTTTTGCCTAAGCCTTATATGTAATCAGCACTGAGATGCTTTTAACACAGGAATTATTTGTAACTATTATATTCTTATGCTGACTTGTATAATATCTGTACCTTTATTTTAATGAGAGCTTGCTAGAAGATTTTCCCCAAAACATTTTTTTAACAACCTGTCTAGAATGAAGATGTATGAAATAGAAATTTGAAATTAATTTTTCCTGTTTTCACCAACTGCCTTCTATTGTTGTATAGGCAAGGTTCTGATAACTGCTTTCTTTCCCTTAGGAAAAACTCATATGGCTACCGAAAGAAAAGGGAGGACAAGTTTACAGTGAGTGTTCATGATCATATTCGCCTATAATAAAATCAGGGTAACAAGGCAATAGTATGGATATTATGTGGAGTAGCAGGTGAGATAAGTTATTGCACAAGCAATTGTATGTCTCAGTTGACTGAAGACAGCGGCTCGTTAGTCACATGACTTTACTGCATTTGGGTATCAGAGAAGGTTGTTCATTAATGCAGAAGTCAGGAAGAAGTTAAAATTACTCTTTTACAGTAGCAAAAAATATCCATCTTAGTGTTAGTTTGTCAGCATGCCAGTGTTCACATTCAGGGAGAGCTAAATAGCTAAGCTAAAATTCAAAACAGTTGATACTTGATTATCGTTTATGTAGATGATGAACAACATTTTGTAGATCTGTGTGTCATAATGTATAGAATCATGGAATGTTAGTTAAGTGGTCAGTTCTATTTTTTTAAATGCCTCTCCAAGTACCACTTGGTAAGCGTATTGAAATATACAATATATAACACTATTGAAATATTACAGTTTTGGTAAACTTAAATTCAAGGTGAATGCCTAAATAGCCTTGATACTTGAAAAGGCTGGACTAGATGTTGTGTAGAAGGGAAAATAGTAATTTTTTTGTAAGACTTAAGGTTTGATTTGATAAAACCAGACAATTCTCTGCAATTCATTTTTGCTACACACTGCATGTTCATGAAGTTGAACTGGATTGATTATTTCCTTATTCATGGTACAATTGCAAAGTTATCCCACTGCATGAGCTATAACACTTTCTTAAAGGTCTATAATTGTTGCATTTGTGTATTTGAGGCTCCTGCTGTTGAGTAGCCTTATGGGACTTGGATAAGGAGCATCAAGGTTTGGAAAGTACAGAACAACAAGTGGTTCCTTCCCTTTGGTTGCTTTTAGTTCTTGTCAAATGTCTCAAAGCTCAGCAACATCAGGTTGCATGTAGGATCCATACTTTCTTTTGCCCTTTCAAAGCTGCTTGAAATTTTAGACTGATGTTTTCCTATCAACATTTTTTCTGTCTTTGAAAGAACAAGGAGGTGGTACAGGTTAGGCATGTGAGTGAGTGCCTGAAGTGAAAGGATTACTTTGCACACTTACTGAGAAGAGAGGCTCTTCTGACTCAGATGACTTCAAAGGATATTTTAACTTTAAGTGTAAAACTGGTAGCCATGATTTCTTTCGAGACTCACCTTTCCCTTCTCTGATCAGCAGACTTTAACTGCAGTCTGTGCAGCCAGGTTCCTTCTAGTGTCTTCTGGCCCATGAATCTTTAGTTTGTATTGTACAGTGATGCAACTCGAACAGAGGTGAGAGCTGCTGCACACCCACAGCTGTACACTGGGAAGGAGCATACTCTGAAGTGAAAGATTGAAATTTGACCCCTTTAGACTGTGGAAATAATTGATTCCAGGATTCTATTTATTGTGTGATGCTGTAGTGATTAGATAGTTATGTAGGACAACACTACAACCAGTTGTATTGGAATGATGACTTCTGTTGATTTTTATTTTTTTTTTAAGGAAAGATTATAGAGAATATACATGATTGCATGAGAGAGCATGAACCTTTCTGATTAGATGGTATCTGAGGCTATAGACATAAACCAATTACTCAACTTGTCATAAGTTGACTTGAGAAATTTTATGTAGTTGGCAGCTTAAAATCCATTTAAGTCCCCCCTGGTCTCACTAATTTAAGATGTTAATGCTACTTGTCTCTTAATATGTTGGGGTTTTTTAGGACTCCTCTGTATAACTTCAAATCTTTGTATAACAAATACATTATCTACTTCAGGACTTCAGTCCCCTTTAAGAAAACTAAGTGCTGTGATTTGAAGAACTGGTCTTAAAAAAAAGTGTTCCTCTTGCGGTTTGAGCTGGATAAGTGTAGTCGTGCTCCATGACCCTTTGACAGGTCATCTGACATCTGTTTTTGGAGGTTTGCAGCTTCCATTGCTGTAACACTCTTAGCTGTGTTCTGGGGAGTAATGCTGGGTTAGTAGCAGTCCTAGGATTTGCAGTTGTTCTTGCTTCTGTATGTATGTATTCTTTCCCTTATTCCCTCCTGACACACACTTCTTTTGAAATAAACTGTAGTCTCTGAAAAGACCTTGGGGGTAATTTTGTATCTATTACTGTTTTTTCTTCTTCTTTCTCATGAAGAGCAAGTAATGCAACACCTTTCTGTCCAGAAGCATTGCTCTCGCATTCAGACCATCTTGGTGATGCGCCCATAAATATTTTCCTTTTCAAAACAGGAATTGTCTCAAAGATTGCTTTGCTTTTAGTATTCTGCAGCAGAGATCATCTTAGCACAGGCCTGAGCAGTCATGAAGCAGTTAACTTCTTTGTTTACATAATGTAGATGAAGTTAATGGGTAACTTCAGTTACAGCATATTACAAAAGGAATTTTATTTTTTCAGTGTAAATAGAATTAAGCTTTACAAATCCTTACAAGCAGTCCTCACAATTGATCTTTAACTGTGGTACTCTTTAACTCCTGAACTGCTGTCTGTAGTGCAAAATTAGCATTTAGCCCATTGATGTTTTTTACCTGGGACGTTGTTTTTCTTTTTAGATTTAGTTAAAAAAAAAAATCTCCCTTTTTTGACATTTATCTTTGCATTTTTATGAAGTGACCATATACGTTCATATTAAGTAGATGAAAATTGCTGTTGTCTACCCCATGTGAGGCATGCTGCCTTGTGATTTCTTAATATATCTTAACATGATATAAGAATTTTGTTGACTCCTGTCTTTCATTTAGCATGTTACTATCTGCATATAAATGGATTGCATATTTTCACGATATCGTGATATCTAACCAGTCTGTTTTACTTTCTGTGTCAGAGTAAGAGTCTATTCTGAAGGAAGGATCAGTGAGAAGACTTTTCTTACTATACCAGTATCACGAGCACTTATGAATATGAAATTTGTAAGGATGCTTATGCCCTCCCATTTAAATAATAGTTAAATATTTTAAGGGCAACAGTGGAAAATGAAAGCATCTATTCCTTGGTACTGTGTGGTTTTCTTGGGAGGTGGGATGGGGGAGACCTCTCTAGGACTTCACAGATATAAATCAAATATGAAATACAGTTTAGAGTCCCATGTCTGTCCTTTGCGTCATCCAATGTGGTAACCTCAACATGTTATTTCTATTCCAGAGAGGCCAAACACAGTCTCCACCACCCCCAAAACCTCCATCTCCTAGCTTTGAATTGGGTTTATCTAGCTTTCCTCCATTACCTGGGGCTGCTGGCAATTTAAAGACCGAAGATCTTTTTGAAAACAGACTGTCCAGTGTGGTAATAGGAACGTCAAAAGAAAGAGTGAGTAGCCAGCATTCATTTTTGTTGGAAAAACAAAGAAATGCATACCTCCTTGTTTTCAGATTTGGTGACTTATACATGGAAAAAACTTATGGGTTTTGTGGGTCATAAGAAATGTTTTAAAAAAACAGCTGTCAAGCAATGTGTTGCTGCCGCCTTCACTTGTAATTTGTTGGTTTATTCTCTTTGAAATGCATGGAATATAAGCACCAGTATAAGTAGAGGTTAATAGCAGAGATTAGAAAATATGCTCTTCGCTGTTCATAATTACCTCAGGCTTTTTGATATACTCAGGTGAAAAATATGTGGTAAATTTTTCTCCTGTTCGAAACTCAGACTTTTGAGTTGCATAGAAAACACTTTAAGGTGAAAAAGACAAACTTTTAAGCACCGAGATATAAAGAAACTGCCTACTAATTTTAGTACACTAGGAATCATAGCTGGAAGAACTGTTACCAAAACCAGCTGGATCCCAGTGTTGTCTTGTCATATTTCTTGGAAAGATAAAAATATACCAGAATGATTTGGCAACCGCTGCTTTCTAGATGTAGTAGAGGTGCAGTTGAAAATGAATGTTCAGTAGCTGTTCATAGATTTCATTCTTAGAACTGTCTCTACCTTGCCATCTGTGAGTGACAGTGTTTTTTCTCTCCATCAGGACTCATATAACCCTGTGCGCTATGGAACAGTCTAGGCTGTGGAAGGCTATATTGGCTGTTTTGCTAGATCTAATTTAACTTGTGTTTTTCTAGCTGTACTGCAACTGAAGAACTTAACCCCTGAATATAGCAGTGCAAGGCAACCTGATGAAACACCAAAATCTCTCTCGTGGCTCATCTCTAAAACTAGTCTGTTGCAGAAGTGTTTTCTTTGGTGCCCACATATCAGGGGTGGGTAGGGAGGGTGTCTTTTGGTAAAGGAAAGAGGAAGCAGCAGGGCAGCCTGCACCTGAAGCAGTGATTGTGCAGACAAGCCACGCGTTCTGCCTCCTGCAAGTGGCAATAGGGACAACTACATTCCAGGGTTGCATTTAGGAGCAATGTGCAGGACAGTGCCATGATAAGAGCAGTGTTTAACTGACTGTCAGCCAGTACTCCAGACTGTAGTTTGTTCTTGGCCAAAATCTATTTTAAATGTATTTTACCTCTCTTATTTCTGAAGTGCTTTTTTGGCTATCATATTTCAAGTTTTAAACATAATTCCAGCACTTGCTATTGATGTTGCAGCTGAAAACCTATTGCTCCTCCCATTACAAATCTTGTACTTGCTTTGCACTGTACTTATTGTGAAGAACTTAGACTTCTCCCCTGTAGAGGCAGTCTTAGTATCAGTCAGGCACTGAGGTTTTATGATAGTGCAATGCACTGTCACACGAACAAGCTTCCTTTGGTTTCCCAGTTTCTTTTTCTGGCTTGCATGAGTTAGTCTGTACCATTGTGTGGAAGGGATTGAGCTGTCTTTCCTTGTTGGTGTTAATAAGGAATAAGATAACAGCAGCTGGCTCCAAAGTGGTTGTGGTGTTCTACAAAGGTGTTTGAGTTAACGTTAGAATCTTGCCAATGTCTACAGGCTGCTTTTCACCTTGATCTCAACATTTTTTCATGTCGCCTAACATAGAGTTATGAAGTGCTGAAGTAGAGTTACACTTTCCAATTCTTGTTTTATAGATGGGCAAGTCTGGTGTACAGAAGCTGAGTGAACTTAGGTTGTATAATTTCCAGGAGTTGTTATCCAAGCATCATATCTCTCTGCTCTTTGGTTTGTGGTGCTCTTCTGGATGTAGCTCTGGGGAATGGCAGGTGTTAATCATCCCACATTTTCTAACTAGGAAAGTGCAGTGCTGTCAGATCAGGGGCTGAGTGTTTTGGCTTAAGGAACAGCACTTGCATGTCTGCTTGACTTAAAGCTATTCACATTTAACTATGTACCTACAATTTTTGATGACCTAGGGCCAGAATACTCAGCAACTTGCAATTGCAAGCCTTGGCACACTCTGTTACAGTGAGTAAAGCTACAGAAACTGTTCTTTTATTTTTAAACATCCACCTTTTATGGTTTAACTTTTACTTTGAGTAAAAATAGGGTTGGATCTACTGCAGTAATCTACTGCCTGATTTAAAACAATGTCATCAAGTACTATTTCCCTTTCTAACAGTGACGACAGGGGTCTCATGTTGTATAAACTTTGAATGGTGGCTGTGCCTGGGGGAAAGGGATGGCTGTCTTCTTCCTTCTGTGCTTGTGTTCTCCCATTGCTTTCCCTTCTGCTTACCAAAATCTGTTCTGGTTCTATAGTCAGACAGGTCAGAAGCAATACAAAAAACATAGCACTTTTTAAAACAAACAAAATGGTTATAAATGTCAGAAATATGTTTTTCAGTGTACAAAGTTGCCTTTCTCTTTTCTTATTTTGTGACAATTTAAATTTACACGTGCATCTTGAACCTATATGGCCTTTATCTGGAGGCATAGTGTCACCTGGCACTAGCAGAATCTTCTGAGATAGGAAAAGCTTCTTTTGGTAGCAAATCACACTATAGCATAAGAAAGGGACTTTTAAAGGATGGTCATATCCTAGTTTGTAAAAACTTCAGGATTTTTTTTTCTTACAGTTTGGGGGTTTTTTAGCACCAACTGTTAGGATGATGCAGAGTTAGAGCTTTGAAGAAGACAGTTCTTGGTGCGTAACTCTAGGAGACTTTTGACTTAGTAGGCTGACTACGATTATGTGAACAGGCACGAAGCCTGTTTTGCAGGTGCAAAATTCCCAGGTTGAAAGAAGGGATTTTGTCATCCAGATGTGTCCCAAAGGGAACTAAGCTTCCAAATTTTTGAGAAAGAACCACAGTGTGTGATTTATTTGTCTGTGTTTCTAAATAATTGTAAAGGAAAAAACTTATCAGTTACAATATATATGTTGGATCCTTCTGTATCTTCCTGTAGTTCATTTAGCCTTATAAATCAACTTGTAAACTGTTTCTTGACTGTGTTAATTTTCAGGCAAACCATATTAATTGGATATTATGATTGCCCTTCTGTGCCTTTTTTCCTCCTTCAGAACATTAATGTGGATGCAAGTACAAACACTATTCCATCGGGAATTCCTCGAGAGCCGTTGTTGCCAGTTTCTTCTACATTGCCCAGGACGTTTGAAAGGTCTCCTTCGCCATCCCAGTCTTCTGAGTAAGCATTTGATTATGTGGCTATAATTATTCTGCTCTGAATCACGGTTGCATTGTCTCTCATCAGAAGGCTAGGTAGAACACTGTAAATAGCTATTAATATCTTAACCAGTGAAAGCAATACTTTTTTGTTGTATATTGTACTTATAGTAAAGGCAATAAAGCTTAATTTCTGAACAATATCATAATAGTGATTTCATCATAATAGTCATTCAGCAGACAAATTTAATGTTGTGTTTTGGTCTCTGCAAGTATTTAGAAATCTAATGAATACCTTACCGTCTTGTATTTAAATAGCTTTGAAGCATAGAGAGCAAACCCACGATCCTGTGGGTAGTGCTGTTGCCTATACAATAAAGAAAGTTTTCAGTAAAACTTTATTTGGAACCTGCAAATCAAACTGAGGTGTTTGAGTAACAGGAGTAAGATAACTGAATAACCAAATGCTATCAGAATGTCATAAATACAGGTAGTGTCAAATTCCACAGGAATATCTTCTCTTAATATTTGATAACATTTTTAAATGCAATGCTAGTCATGATGGCAAGGGAAATTGCCTTAGGCAAATTATAGCTATAGCTTCTTATAGTAATAGTCAAAGTTTCAGACCTATTATTAGATCACTCATCTACCATGAAGATTCACTTCTCATGAGCCTTGCTTTCTCCTGGGTGCTTACAGGGACTCCAAGGTTGTGGATAAACAGCAGAGAGAGACGCAGAGTACAGAAAGGCTTTCTTCTTCCACACTCAGTACTGCATGTAAATCGGTACAAGTCAATGGGGCTGCCATAGTAAGTGACCTTATTACTTCACTTTCTCTTAATGATCCAGTTTGATGCATTTAACAGAATATTACTTCCATTGCTAACCAGTGTTGCTTAATCATGTGAGCCCAGCATCCTTAAATTTGTGTGCTGGTGGCCTCATGATTACTTGCATGATACAATTATGCAATTAACAGTGCAAAATTGTTCAAGATAACGTGATGAATGACAGCACTTTATCTGAATTCTCTTCTTGGTAGTATCCTTGAGGTAGAAGCATCAATACATATGTTGATATTTAAACCAAAGTATTCATCATCTTTCAGCTGTTTTGGAGTTTGCTTGAATAGGAAGTATTTTGCCCTATGACAGTACCTCACTTTTCTGGTATTGTCTGTACAGCTTCTGTAAACTTCATATTCAAGCCCTCATCTGCATATTTTAGTGCAGCGGTATTTTGGGACAAAGACTTTACCGTTTTTGTTCATAAAAGTAAATTATTTTTCCTCAGGATGCTTTGTTTAACTCTGCTGTCTTCTTTGCTTTCTATTTCACAGGAACTGCGGAAACCTAGTTATGCAGAAATTTGCCAGAGAACAACTAAGGATCCTCCTACATTGCAACCCCAGAAAGAACAGAAGCCAAACACTGTAGCATGTGGGAAAGAGGAAAGAAAGCCCACAGAAACAATAGAGAAAAACAGAGAACCTCCTCCTGCAAAGTCACATCCTGGACAACCCAAAGACCAGAGGAGACAGTCAGTACGCAGATCGTCCCCTCCAGCCGTTGGCAAACGCTTAAGTAAAGAACAGAATACCCCTCCAAAATCTCCTCAGTGAAACTAACACCTGGGAGGGATTTGAAAAGAGGTCTGCTTCCCACAAATTAAACCCATGTTCCCACTAAGATACCTGAGAATGAGTTGCTGGTTAGGAGCTTGCAGTGATACTAGGCATATAACAATGCCTGCAAGTTA